TTCCCTTCTCTAGAAGACCATGTTTTGTCAGAACTCTTCACAATATCCTGTCCATCTTGGGTGGCCCTACATAGCATGGGTCATAATTTCATTGAATCAGACAAGGCTGTGTTCCATGTGATCAGTTTGGTTAGTTTTCTGTGACTGTGGTTTTTATTCTGTCTGCCCTCTGATGAATAAGGGAGGTACTATTATTTACTCCTAAACCAATGTCAGAGAAATTAGGATTAATATGCCCAAAGTGGAAGAATCTATGACAGAGTCCCTCTAAATGTTATACTTTAAACCATCAAACCACAGCAAAATAATGATCCCATAATGGAACAACCAGCTGCCTTGGAAGATTTCTAAGGTGGAACTGTCAAGTACTTGGGTTCTGGGGACAATGCTGCCACCAACTCTCTTTCTTGGGAAGTAGCTTAATTACCATCGATCTGCTTCCTCATTTAAACAATGTGGCTAATACAAAGGTTTCTGTTTGACCTACTTTACATGGCTACTTGAGAACATCAAATCAGTTCATGTAAGGGAGAGAGACCTTAGAGTTTAGAGTTCTCTGCTTTGCCCCTCTGTCCCACTTGCACCACATAGTTCTTTGCCTTGACCCCTCAAGTGCAATCACTTCTTACCTCCTCTTTCCCTACATGCCTTCTGTTTTCTTCTATTCTTCCATGATTTTGCTCTTCCTAGGACATATTTGTCCCCACTGGACAGCCAAGGCCACATCTCATTCATCTCAATATCTCAGTGTCTAGCACCTCATTCTAATTACAGGCTAATTATCTCATGTGGGGCTGTGCCCTGAGCACATCAAAGGAGAGAAGGACAAGGTAAATGCTATCCTTCTCATAGCTTATTTTTGATTCTTCCTGCTGGCAGGAGGGCAGGGAAGTAACAAATACATTCAACTCCACATTTGATCTAATGGTCCCAGGAGCATGCTTCATCCAGTCACTTTAGCTTTTAAGTAGATGTTTTTGCTGCCTCCATCACATTGGACTTTTATCTTTCCTCTAAATTCTTTGGATTAAGAAGTCCAATAGTAAACTGGAACATGCTCTTGAGTATATATAACCAGGCTGTTGAGGGGAGGGGTGTTATGAACAGGTAATCACAACTATACACAATCAAGTTCCTAAACACAAGCTACAAATTTGTCCTGGTAAAAAGCTCCAGAAAAAAAAAAGAGAGAGAGATAAAAATAAGCTGTTAGGGATATGCTCCTTCTCCCTTCCCTTTAAGTGGATCTAATGCATATGAAGGGTAGCAAAGTGACAGCTTAACCAAATATCAGCATCAGAGAAATTAGAAATAGAAATTTCTGAGAAACTGTAATTCTTGAGAACAGGTTCTTCTTCCTGCTGCTCCCCTAAGCTGTCCAAGGTACTTATTATTTAGAAGTATAGGTGATACTGGTACTGGCTTTCAGGAGCCCTAGAGGGTGAGGCAGAGCAGGGAGTACTCAAAGAATTCTAGGTCCCATTTAGGTTGACAGGGAGCAGGGATGGTAAAGGGAGGTGGGCAAAAAGACCCAGAATATTCATGGAATAAGTTAAGGGAGGGCCAGGTGTCGATATAATACAAGATCTCCTGCTCTCTATCCAAATGCTCTGATTTATTGAGAAGGCAACAATTGCTATTGCCTGTATACTACCAACTGTCCACCCTCTTTCCTAATTTCTCTTCAAGGGATATTAAGCTCTGAAGGTTCCTTCTATGACTCTTATTTTTCATTTGACAAATTAAAGTTTAATTATTCCGTAGATGTTTATGTTTTTAACAGCTACCTTGTTTTTTCAAACATCTGGAGGAGGTAAGGGAGTGGCAGAAAGAGAAAAGCACTGCTTCATTTTCTTGATGTGCAAGGCTTGTCCACAGCAGCACCACCAAGCTGGCAGAGCTTCTCTCTGCCTGTTCAACTGCTTGGGTAGGTGGACTATACAACAAAGGGAACTAATGAGCTTGGGCCACCTAAGCCAAGAGCCAACCAGCCATGGAACAGACATATCCTGTTTCTTCCTGGGGGAGGCCCCAGCACTCATCCACCTTTAGCCTTACTGGGATTTGGATTCCCCCCCGGGCCCCAAGACAGTTTTACTCTCTTTCTTAGATATGGACACTTTACTGAAGAAACAAGTCCTTGTAATATCATAAAGGACAGCAACTGCACTGCAGGAAGCAGAAGACTACAAGAGTATGTGGTGCAGCAGTGAAAACAATACCCTATTAATTGAATTATTCAAAATGGAAGCATTTAAACACTTTTGAATTTACATCTATCTTTTGTGTTTACTTTTTAAAACAAAGTGCTTGTATTTGTATCTCCAAAAAAAAAAAAAAAAGAATTTGGAGACTAGATTCAAGTTTTAGTTTTGTCATTGACTTGCTATTTGGCCTTGCTGAGGAATAGGCTTCTCAGACTTTCACCATCATTACAAGGTGTGCATGTGTGCACATATGTATATGCACACACATGTGCATAAGCATGACCAGGGTTATTGCTCAGGGAATTCACTAAGAGCCCTAGTGACATTGACATTCTAGAAGTGTTTAAGACTAGATATGGTACACTTGATCGAAACTTTGGGCCTGGTTTCTGAAATGTACCCAACAGGCCTTGCTAAAGAAAAACTTTCCTAGAGGGCAACATCTCTGTAGCTGGTAAGTTCCACAGTGACCACAGAGTGTGAAAAGTTAACCACAAAAATTTTTTCTTCTAACCAACTTAGATAAAGAAAGGCTTTGTCAAGCAGGGTTGTGTGGGCTTAGATGAGATTAGAGGACAAATCAATCATGCTTACTAAAGAGGGAGAGAGTAACTGCCACCTATCAATCCTACCTTAGACTTGCCTTTTTGTTTCTCACGCTCCCCCCCCCACCTATAGACATAAAAATATAAAACTCTTTCTTTCTTTCTTTCTTTTTTTTATAAAACTCTTTCTGAGATGCTGAATCTCTAAATTATAGTTCAGTGCTTTCAAGTTGGGTATGACTGAAGCTTTCTGAGCAGGGCAAAGAATTTGAAGCTATTCTTGATATTGTATGACCCCAGATGCAGGGACTGGAGGCTCAGAGCACATGGAGGAATTAGAAAGTCTTCTAAGTATTGGAAAGGGGAAAAATGTTCCATAGGATAGAAAGTCAATTGCTGCTGGGAAACTAGTATTACAGAAAATCCCATCAAGGGTAGAGAAAAAGGGACCTGCAAGCCAGCCACAGTTTCAGAGTACCTGAGACTTTGCAGGCTTGCTAGAGGTCATTTGATCAGGCAAATAGCCAAAGCAAACCAGACCCAAGGGGAAGAGAATCTGTGATTTTCTAATAAGTCTGTGCCAGTGCTGGCTTATGAGCAAGAAGGTATCTTTAGAAGTTTCCTTCCTTTCCCTGCATCTCAAAGAATCACTGCTGTTTTCTATTCTATATGGGGACACTATCTTTCAAATAAGACCCAAAAATATGCCCACTGCTTAGAACTGTGGACATTTCCAGCCATTTACATTAAAGGTGAACAGAGGTCACAGAACAAAGAAAAGATGATTTTTTCTGGATCTTGGTTAAGTAACTATAAGACTGATATTTAATCCCCTCAGAATGTGCTAAACTATATGAGAAGCTAGAGGAATACTACCTCTCAAATTACAAGGAATTGTACCTGTGTGGAGGCCAGTGGAATGGGGAGCTGACTCAACTTTTACACTACGACTATGAAGCTTAAGATTGCCTCTTCCTCCATGGTAGCATGTCCAGCTTTTTCCATCTTGGTTATATTAGCTATGAACTGTCATATTTCATAACTTGGGCCTGACAGATAAATATGAAATGTCATTACTCCTACCTCTCCTGATGGGTATAAGAGACAAACAATAAATACTGTACTTAACATATAGGTACCTGTGAGGTATTAAAACTCACAGCTCTGTTTCTACTGAACAGACCCTTTAGGAACTTCAGAGGAACCATGGCATTGGAGGCAAAAGCTCTGTTTAGCTGTTAGTCTGTGTATTTCCTCTTCAAGTGAACATTTCACATGACAAGGCTTTAGTGACTTCACTGAAGGCTTTCTGAGTTCAGAGAAGTTATAATTGTTTCCAATAGAATTAAGACTCAGGCTTACTTCACTCTGTATAATGGGCTCCAGTTTCATCCATCTCATTAGAACTGATTCAAATGAATTATTTTTAATGGCTGAGTAATATTCCATGGTGTATATGTACCACAGCTTCCTCATCCATTCGTCTGCTGATGGGCATCTAGGTTGCTTCCATGTCCTGGCTATTATAAANTGGGAGGGGGGATCGGGATGGGGAACACATGTAAATCCATGGCTGATTCATGTCAATGTATGACAAAAACCACTACAATATTGTAAAGTAATTAGCTTCCAACTAATAAAAATAAATGAAAAAAAATTTTTTTTAAGTTAAAAAAAAAAGAATTAAGACTCAGGAATTATTTTTACGATCAGATGATTAAAAAACAGAATGTGGTCTATCACTTGGTCAGGGATGATGATCGTGACCTCAAGTGTGTAGGCTTAGATAGAACTAGTAGATATGTCAGGGTGAGGTGATCCCTGACAAGAGGAAAAGAAGTATGTTGGCTGGCCTGTATCAGAGAACCAACCTTGCATTCTGGGTCTGGGAATGGATTTGTACATATTACAACTTATCCAAGTGTTTATCTGGTGGTGATAAAATTCCAGGACTTGAAATATCTTTGAAAGGTTACTGAGTCACCCCAATTATTTCTTAGTAACACCCAAAGAAATGAATCTTTCCTGTCCTAGTAAAGTATTGCTACAGACTTTTCTCCAACTTTCTTAGAAAGCTATTTAAGTACAGGACACCTCTCATTAGCAGTGAGTTTTGCCTTGGCTCTAATTTAAATCCTTTCTCCTGTTTTTCAAATATAATTACTCTTTGTTCAACTTTGGTTAAAATGTGAGGTTTTGGCTAAGGTATTTGAACTCTCCAGTGTCCCTGCTGGTGAAAGTGTCCTACCTCCCAATCTAGAACAGAGGCTTGCCACTGTGCAATCTTGTCAATATTCTCCAAGCGACGCTTGCGTTCATTGATCTGCTGAGTCACATTTCTCATGACAGCCAGAGCAGCCGCCACATACCTGTAGTCACTGTGAAGATACAAAATTACAAATTGGATGAGTTAATGTGCCATAGAACCAATGTGCTGGGTGTTAACTCTAACATCCTTCTCCTGTTCCTACTTAGCAACAGAGCCCTGATTTTCAGATGGAATCCATGCCATGTGGAGTAAAGGAATACATTTCCAAGAGGTGATTTATGTGATCTAGTTCTGTTAAGTGATATATAAATAGAAATGTTGGGCAGAACTTTTAAGAAATCTCCTTTAAGAAAGACAGAAGGACCTTCTTTCGTATTACTTCATCCTGATGCTTAGAATTTAGATGTGAAGGCTGAAGTTCTACCAGCCATCTTGGACCATAAGGACAAGCTCCATACTCTTAAGGATAGGATAAGAGAAAACTGGAAAGAGTCTCTGATAATCATGGAGAAAGCAAGGCAGCCTGGCTTTTTTTTTTTTTTTACATGAATGAGAAATAGACTTATCTTTTTTATGCCATTATTTTTGTACTCTGTTTGATACAATCAGCCAAGGAGCAAGAAGGGAGCTTTACACATGGCATAGTCCAGTCAACTTTACCATCTGTTCTAGCAACTATTTCTGGGGAACTCTGCCCAAAGTAACTATAAAATAACATCCAAACCTTTCCCTCACAGAGACTCCTTGGACACAAACCAGACTTTAGCCACTGACAAGTGATGTGATCTTTCACAAGTCACATTTACTTTCTCAGTGACTCAGATTTTTATCTGTAAAATGGGGGAGAATTACAATAGAATTTGATGAAGTTTTATTAATCCATGACAACTGTTTTACTCTTGGCTTATAGCAAATGTTAGCAGTATTATTAATACAAAAGAAGCATTTCTCTAGTATAGATGTTATATGAGTTGTCCTTCAAAACCTCAAACTCAGAAGTATAATCCTAATCCCATTTTCCTGGGATGTGTTGAAGGTTATATCACCCTGCCAAGTTTTCTCTGCTTGTCTGCTCTAATTTCCAATCAAATAGCTCCTGTGAAAAGCATGTTGAAAGTGAAATCCCAGATATTTGGTGAAATTACTATAACTGAGAAGGTAGGAGGATGCATTATGGTTCAGTCTTAACTAACTTTTCCTTAGAGAAGCTGAACATGCTTTGTGGTCACTAACCTGCTCACTGTCCTAGCACCAACGGAAAGAAGAGAAGAGAAGAGAAAGAGAAGAGCACAGCAACTGCCTTTTTCTTTCCTAATATATTGAGCTGTGGGGTGGGAGATCAAACATAAGCACAGGAGAAAGGGAGTTGTAACTGCCAGGGCAGATGCCTCCTCTTATCTGGCTTCCCTGGCTCCAGTCTTTTCTCTGCATACCTTCCAGACTATAGTCTTCAAATGTTACTACATCTTATCACCCCCAGTAACAAGATACTCACTACATATCCTAAGCAGTCCATTCTGTCTCAAGACAACTCTGTTAACATGCGTGTGTGTGCACACACATGCACATACACACCCCCAAAACTCTTTTTTATTCTGAGTCTAATGAATGTTAGCTATTACCAGTTTTTCTTATGAATCTCACTTCTGACTCATACTGAACTTACAATTAACCAACACTTCTTAAGTTTCTTTAAAATATGCTTTCTAGAAGCTGTGTTTCTCTCAGTTGGCCCTTGAATTGTTGACTCCTTAGACACAACAACAAAATATTATATTTGTTCCTATTTCATTACAACATTTTACAGTTACTTGCTACAATCTATAGGGGAACTACTGTGCTCTGTAAAACTGTCAAAGTTTTGCTCTGGCAAGACTGTCTTAGCCTGCCATTTAGAAGCAGGGTAGGGTAATGACAGAAGGGGTAGCTGCAGAGTAGAAGCTGCTGATATAAATAAGCACCCCATTATTTAGGCTCATGTTATTCCACTCTCTGATTTGAGAGCATCAGGAAGATGCCTTAAGCCACTTTCTGGGAAGTAAAGCATAGAGTTACACTGTATATATGGTAGCCACTAGCAACATTTAATTGAAATTAAACAAAAATTTAAATTTTAATTATTTAGTTGCACCAGCTACATTTCTCAGTTCTCAATATCCATATGCTGACAGTGTCTACTATATTAAACCTCACAGATATAGAATGTTTACATCACTGTGCAAAGTCTTATTGGACAGTACTGGTATGAGAATGCTCTACCTGATCCCATGTACTACTCAGCCATGAATTTTTCACTGCCAGTGTGCCATACTGTCAATCAATAAATAGCTATGGTCTAGCCTGAACCCTGCTCAGAGCCCTCAGGCTTCCAGAGTGGGTCTGAGTCAAGCATCCTAGTGAGGAGACTGACTGAACCAAGATTGTCTTGTGCTAGACAGGTCAGCTAACCTCCCTCTTGCACAGAGCCTTCCTTCTTGTCAGCTTAAGCAAGGTTGGGTAGAGGGGTGAAGACATGTCACCCTTCTGTAAACAAAGGTAGCATTATTCTCCACTTATCATTCTCTATCCATCTAATCTTCTCCCTCATATACTACTCTGACTGCCTGCATTTCAGACTTAGCTAACTGAATACCTATCTTACTAAGCCTTCAAGCTGGTGGTAGCCTCTAATTGCCTTCAAATCCAAGCTACTCTGACATGCAGTGCAGGAGCTATCACCTTGATACAGCTTCCTGAGGCTGGAAAGAAGGAACTGTCTATGGTCTGGGGATAGGGCTAGGTTCAGTGGGTCACCCCAAATGAGGACAGGGATTGATGTAGCCTGCCACTGCCTGAAACATTCTCTCAGCACTCTAGTGCCTGGGGCTGGAAGAGGAGGAGACCAGAGACCAAGGGGGCAAAGAGGCCTTGAGGCAGGGTTTCCACTCAAGGTGAAGGAGTATAGGAATGGCAAATCCCAGGGAGATATTCTATCTTATTGACTCCCACTAAGCCCAAAAAGGCCTTAGGATTGCTTTGGTCTAAAAGAATAACATAGTTTTTGACTGTGTTTTAAAAATGACATTTGGAGGACATTTAAAAGCACCTATGCAAATACATAATTTACATAATTAATATCATCAGTCCATAAGTTTGATTTTTAGAGCCTCCTGCTAGGTAGTTTCCATGGAACAGATACTCAGGAGCAGGCAGGAGATGAGCTGTGATATAAAAACATTTGAGAATCACTCTTTGAATATAGTGATTTTAGAACCATTGGTCTGAAAGCTGCTTCACTGAGATTTAGGTACAATAGTGGCTGTTTCTGGTCACTTAGCACCTTGAAATATACCTGTAGAGGTCATTTAAATTCATCACATCATGAGCAGGCAGAACTAGAAAAGGCCTCCCAGACTGTGTAGTATAATGGCTTCACAAATCTTCCTGGGCACTTGGAGGACTCTGTAAAAAGCTAGGCTCCCAGACCACTGTCCATACTTTGTGTCCTTGCTATGCCACAGACTTCCTCTTTGTCATTTTCTCTCTCCAGGACTCAGTCTCTCCAGCCACAGAATGAGGAAGTCTGACTAGAAGAACTTCCTTTAAGGCCCTTCCCATTTTAGGGCCATAAATGTTTTTCATTTTTATTTTTAATTTAGTGGGGGTTCTTCAGTATCCTATTAGCTCTCACAAGTCTTCTCCTTCAAAAAGTTGGGACTCAGTTTTGGTAATGGGCTATATTAAACCTTTTAAGTGAGATTTACTCACCTCCAAGTTTCATGTCTGAGTACTCCCATCCCCCAGCTAGTAAACAGAATCAGGGAGAAGAGAACACAGAGTCTTCCTTTGCAAAGTCTTTCTATACCTACTTCCCTCACAGCCAATGGATCAACGAAGGCAGAGCTATCACTGGTGGTGTTACTTATACAAAGGGAGAGCCCACTGCTGCCACATTTGGTTTCAAATCTGAATCTGTCCAGGGCTTCAGAAACATTGGAGCACATGACCCATGATTTGCTAAAGAAACAACATCAACTTAAAAATGAACCTAGAGATTGACCTAGAAGCTTGACATAAAGCCAGCTGACCCACACACATGGCCTTATGCAACTAAGTCTGGAAGTCAGCTCCAAGGAAACTAGGCAACAGAGTTAAATGAAAGTAAGAAACAAGCCTGATGAGAATGAGACAAAAACTAAAGGAAACTGGGCAAAGGCCTTCTTTATTCTTGGAGTGCTCAATCAGGAGGAGAGTTGAGAGTTGGACCAACAAACCTAAGTTCAGATATCCAATATCAATCAAAAGCATACTATAAACAGCCTGGGGGTTCTAGGTCATGAAGTAAAGGATATGCAAAACTAGGGGATGATTTACTATAGGCCACTTCCATTGCTGGAGATGGCTTGCAGTACGGTGGTTTAGTCCCTCAGTCATGTCTGACTCTGTGACCACCAAGCTTCTCTGATCATGGGATTTCCTAGGCAAGAACACTAGAGTGGGTTGGCATTTCCTTCTCCAGGGAAACTTCCTGATCCAGGGATGGAACCTGCATCTCCTGCTTAGCAGGCAGATCCTTCACCACTGATCCACCTGGAAAGCCCAACTTGCAATATATACCTTACAAATAGGAGATTAGAAGTACTATTTCCATTCAGAGAGATAAATAAAGCTCTTTTATCCTTTGGGGGTTTTCTTGAAAATACTGAAAAACTTAAAAAAAAACTTCAGGGAAATTCTCAAGTCTATTTTCCCCTAGTTATGCTCTGGATCTAAGGGGAGAGTACAGTTTGATAAGGCAGAAGAGGGAGGAAAAGACTAAAGAAGCCCAGGAATGTAGCCTTTCAGAAGAATTATAAGCTCAGTACAAGCTGAGTAGTCTGTTATCAGGATATTTGACTCTATCAAGCAGAGAATAAAAAGTTGGTTCCCTTGGATAATTTCCCAAGGTGAGGGAGTGATAAAGAATCTACCTGACAGTGCAGGAGACACAGGGGATGTAGGTTTGCTCCCTGGGTTGGGAACATCCCCTGGAGAAGGAAATGTCAACCCACTCCAGTTTTACTGCCTGGAAAATCCCATGGACAGAGGTGCCTGGTGGACTACAGTCCATGGAGTTGTAAAGAGCTGGACATGACTGAGCAGCCAAATACCTTCACTTGGCTGAATTCAGGACCAAGGACCAGGCTATAAGCTTCCTGAAGACAGTGTCTTAAGCTGTACAATAATGATGCACACTGATTTTGTGTATATATTTATTTACAAGTTTATAAACAACTCTTTAAACACTACCTCACTTTATACACACAAGAGTCTTGAGAAGTAAGCAAGAATATATCATCATCCCATTGTACATATAAGCTAACAGCTCTGAAAGGCAAAAGAACATATACTGTCAATAAGTACTAACATGTAGAGGAGGTTCTCTCCTTCACTACTGCCTCCCTCAATCCCTTACCTATGGTCCTGGGCGGTATACTTGAGGAGCTCAGCCAGCTGTAAGGGATACTTGCAGATCTTCTGTACTGGCGTCAAAAGGAAACCATCAATGGCAATGTCGATCATTTGCTGCAAGAGGCGACAGGCCTCAAAAAAGTGTTGGTAGCGGCTGTCCTTCATCAGTTTGGAGAGCTCCATACAGGCGTCCAGGTGATTGTTACAGTACTCAGAGTATATCCAGAACCCATCTTGCTGTGAGCAGAGGAAAGATGGAGAGAAAAGGAAATGCTACTGAGGACTCCAAAAGAAGTTCTGGAGATATGGAATGACAAACCGTCTTCTTATGTAGAAATATAAAAATGATAACAACATCAATCTTTTCTAAACTGATTCATAATTTAATAACAAATTATTTGGGAATTAGACAAACTGATTGCAAAAAATCATATATAAAAATAAATAAGTAGGAATAGCAAGTAAATTATATAAAAGAAGGCTAATGAGAGGAGACTGACCCTGAAAATAGCAAAACACAATATCATAATAAAATTCAGGCACTGGATCATAGAGGTAGATCAGAGATCTATTTCTTGTAATGGCAGACTAAATAGTTTTAGGTGAAACTTAACCACTGAGAAAAGTTAGAAAATCTGGAAAAACATAATAAATTTCTGTTTGAATGAATCACATCTTCCAGAGTTTCAAATTTTCTCCAAAGAATATTCTGTAGGAAATACACCATGGAACTTTCAGGAGTAAAGAGTAGTGATGAATGCAAGTTAAACATAAATGGCTGAGAAAAACAATGTGTGTGTATGTGTGTGTGTGTACATGTAAAGAAGGGAGGAGGAGAAGGTAAGGGGGGTGTTTATTCAAATGATATACCAAAATCAGAGGAATGTTAATACTAGATGAATCTGGGTAAATGGCATCTTTCATTTTATTGCACTTCACTGATATCATGTTTTTCACAAATTGAAAGATTGGGAGAAAGACTTGGTTGAGCAAGTCTATTGGCATCATTTTTCCAATAGCATTTGTTCACTTCATGCCTCTGTGCCACATTTTGGTATTTCTTGCAATGTTTCAAACTTCTCCACTATTATTATATTTGTCATGGTAATTAATCTATGATCAGTGATCTTTGATGTTAATATTGTAATTGTTTGTGGATACTACAAACCTATGTAACAAGGTGAATGCAATACATAAGTGTTGTGTGTTCTGACTACTCCACTGTTCCCCTCTCTCTTCTCTGACCTCACTATTTCCTAAGACACAACAATACTGAAGTCAAGTCAATTTATAATTCTACAATGATCTCTAGTGTTTAAGTGAGAGGAAGTGTTATATGTCTCTAAATTTAAATCAAAAGCTAGAAATAATTAAACTTAGGAAGGAAGGTATATTAAAAGCTGAGCCAGGCTGAAAGCTATAACTCTTGCACCAAATAGTTAGCCAAGTTGTAAATGAAAGGGAAATATTCTTGAAGGACACTAAAAGTGCTATTCCAGTGAACACACAAATGATAAGAAAGTGAAAACAACCTTATTGCTGATATGGAGAAAGGTTGAATGGTCTGGATAGATCAAAATAGCCTAACCCAGAGCAAGACTCTAACTCTCTTCAATTCTGCAAAGGCTGAAAAAGAGGTGAAAGCTGCAGAGAAAAGAGTGAAGCTGAGAGAACAAGATGGTGGTGGGGTAGGTGAACATGGAGTGCACCTCTCTCCACAGATACATCACGAATACACCTTCAGACACAGAAGTGCATGCAGCACACCAGCTGAGAGTGGACAGGAGTACATGACCAGTGGAAAAGAATAAACAGAATCACAAAAAAACTTGGTAAAATGAAGAAACTAGGGGGAAAAACAGGAGTATTAGTAGGACTGGATCTACCCTCAGCAGGTGGGGGAACTGAAGCAGGGGTGTGATCCCCACAGTGGGGCAATTGTCTGAGTCACAGGAGAAACATTTAAGGCTGAGAGTGAAACAGCTGATCTGTGGCAGCCGAAATGGAATGACAGTCAGACAGTCCTTGACACAGCCATACATACCCTGGACAGGGATGCAGGTCCTGTGGAAGGTGTAGCAGCTGGGAGCTGGATTTTAGGGATTCTGGAGCAATCCCAGTACGAGGGCTGCTGTTGACTGCAGAGAGATGCATCGAGTGGATGTGAGGGAGGAGATCATGGGGGGAAATGCCTATTGAGGGAAGTCGGAAAGCCAGGCAGCCATGGAAGCAAGGCGATACTCCTGAGTCACGCATAGGGGGTGGAGCCACCACTATAGCCTCTCTCTCCCCACACGCCAGCATCTGCAGCTGAACAATAGAAAGGGTGGCCCATCAAATGCCTCACACACTGAACTACAGAGTAGGACTCCAGCCAGGGTGTTCCTTTAACTGATTGATGCGCTGAACTACAGAGTAGACCCCAGTCAGGGGAGCCTCCCTATGTGCCTGACATGATGAACAACAGAGAAGGACCCCAGGCAAGGGATCCCTCTAAGTGCCTGAACAGGCAGAGCTATGGAGAGAGACTGGCCAAAGAGGCCTTCTGATCACCAGCTACAAGAGTCTTGAAAAAAGACTGATAGGGCCATAACTCCTGCCATGGAGGCAGTTTGTGTACCTGAACACTTGGTGCTGCCAAGGTCCCTGAAAGCCAAGCAGTTGCACCACCTTCATGCTCAACTCTCACTGGGGTAGAGCTTCCACAGACCAAAAAAAAAAAAAAAGTCTTGTGTTTATGCACACACGGTCACTTCATTCCTGTCCGACTCTTTGTGACCCTGTTGACTGTGGCATGCCAGGCTTCTCTGTCAGAGATGGGGTTCTCCAGGCAAGAATACTGAAGCTTATTAGCTAATACTGGCATAATCTTCTAGAGCCCTATATTTCCTGCTGCCCTAGCTGTCAATCCCCCTGAGTACCTTGTGCTGCCAGAACCCCTGTGACCCAAGCAGCTGCACCATTTCCACACCTGACCCTCACAGAGGCAAACCCAAGCCCTCCAGGGAAGCCTCAGGAGCTAAACCCCAGGGGACAACGCACATGTAGAGGTGGAAATAAAGCAACAATTGAAACCCAGGGGCAGTGTGGCTAAGGAAGAAGACCCAAAACCTTCCCAATACCTGTACAAGCTGCGGATTAAATCCACACGATAAAATAAGCAGACTCTGTGTCTATGAGATATATAAAAGGCCATTGAGAGCTCCCACAAAAGAAAATGCACTAGCTCTGATAGCTGTGGACATTGGCGGAAAGAACACACAAGAGTAGGACCAGATTAGAATCTGAGCAGCCCCCACAGCAGGTCCAGAGATCAGTACAGTGCTGGAGGGCAACCTAGGGAGGTGAGGTGGACTGTGATTCCCAGAGCGGGAAAGGACTCTGACAGCAGAGACTCAAGAAAATCATTTATTATTCTTATTTTTTGACTTGTTCTGTAGATTCTTTTGGATTCCCCTCCCCCACGTTGTAGTTGTCAATTTTATTGGCACTAAGAAACCCAATTAAGCTTTGGAGTTTTTTTCCTTTTTCCTCAGTCACATTTTTTATTGTTGTCATAAAACTCTGCCTCTACATTGGGCATTTGCAGTTCTGTGGAGTTTTCCTCAATTTTTTTTCCTTTTCTCTTTTTTTAATTTTATTTTTTTAAACATATTATTATTTTTCTACGTTTATTCCTTCGTTTGCTTTTCCTACTGTTCTTTTCCCCTTGCAGTTAATCTTTAATGTATAGAAACTTTCTTTATCTACCTCTATTTAACTTTGCATATCTATATTTCTTTCTCTCCTTTCTTCTCAACATATTTGTTACTTTTACTTTCATTGCTTTATTCCCCAATCAGCACCTTGCTTTAGTTTTGTTTTTCAGTTTGTGCTTTAATTAGTTTTTTAAATTAGTTTTGTTCTGATAGATACAATTTTTGGTTTCCTTTGTTAGCCGGGTCAATCTACTGTAGTTAATTTTTGTTGGACTGTTTTGATTTTTCTTATGTGTCAATATGTATATGTGTATATTTAGTCACACTTTCTATTGTTATAAACCTCTGCCTCTATATCCGGCTTTTGATGTTCTGTGGACTTTTCCTCTTTTCTCCCCTTTTTTCTTTCTTCTTCCATTTTTTCTCAATTCTTTTTTATAATTTTAATTTTTTAAACCTATTATATTATTTCTAAATTTATTATTTCATTTGCCTTTGCTACTGCTCTTTTCCACTTGCAGATAATCTCTAATGTAAATAAATCTTCTTTATCTACCTTTATTTAACTTTGCATAGCTATTTTCTTCTAAAAAATAATTAATTTATATTAATTGGAGGCTAATTACTTTACAATGTTATAGTGGTTTTTGACATACATTGACATGAATCAGCTATGTGTGTAAATGTGTTCCCTATCCTGAACCCCCCTCCCACCTCCCTCCCCATCCCAACTCTCAGGGTCATCCCAGTGCATCAACCCTGAGCACCATGTCTCATGCATCAAACCTGGACTAGCGATCTGTTTCACATATGATAATATACATGTTTCAACACTATTCTCTCAAATCATCCCACCCCCGCCTTCTCCCACAGAGTCCAAAAGACTGTTCTATACTTCTGTATCTCTTTTATTGTCCCGCACTTAGGGTCATCATTATCATCTTTCTAAATTCCATATATATACGTTAATATACTATATTGGTGTTTTTCTTTCTGGCTTACTTCACTCTGTAAAATAGGCTCCAATTTCATACACCTCATTAGAACTGATTCAAATGCATTCTTTTCTGGGTTTGGAAGATCCCCTGGAGAAGGGAAAGGGTACACACTCCAGTATTCTGGCCTGGAGTATTCCATGGCCTGTATAGTCCATGGGGTCACAAAGAGGCAGATATGACCAAGCAACTTTCACTTTCTAAGGAAAGCACTCTTGTTAAGTAATGATCGCAGAGAATTTCATATCACCTTCTTTCCGTGTGTGTTAGTGATTTGAAAACATGGTGCTCCTTACTTTCTGTTAGCTGCCCTTCAAATGCAAGATTTTTTACTGGCATGGGTGGTCTGGCCCTTCTCCAGGGAATCTTCCCGATCCAGGAATTGAACTGGAGTCTCCTGCACTGCAGGTGTATTCTTTGCCACCTGAGCTACCAGGGAAACCCTCTTCCTAAGGAAAACACTCTTGTTAATTAATTATTGCAAAGAATTGCATACCACCTTTCCCTTGCCATGTGTCTTAGTCATGCTGTTCCTTACTTTCTG